CACACACACACACACACACACACACACACACACACACACACACACACACACACACACACACACACACATAAAAAAAATCCAGTTTAACAACTTACAAATCTTATATCAAAATGTTCAGCTCAATCAGGAATTCCTTCTATTGCTTTTTGTATTTGTGCAATTTTTTACCTTTTGATTTACTTTGATTTTTCAGCCACTTTTTTCTCTTTAACAATATTTCCTTCAAATCATTTGAGCTGTTTACCACCTGCTCACCTGTCCTTTCTGGTTGTATTTTTTCAGCTAGTTTGTGCTAATTTCAGCTTTTTTCTGCTTATTTCAACTCTCAACTGTTAGTCTAGGAGAAGCTTTTTCTGCTAACTTCAGCTGCTTTCTGCTAATTTCAGCTTTTTTCTGTCTTTTCAGGTACTGCTTGTCTGTTTTTCCTGCTAATTTCAGCTTTTGTGTAATTTCACCTTTTTAAATTCATTTTAGTTTTGTTCTGCTTAGTTCAGCAAATGTACTCTTTTTGCTAAGTTTAGCATTTTTCTGACTTTTCAGCAATTTTTCTGCTTGTTTCAGCTTTTTCAGCTACTTTACAGCTGAGTCCATCTTTTTTATTCACACTGCATTTTCACAGGAAATGTAACTTCTCTAGTTGTCTAAAATTCTATAACAATCAGCTAGGATATGCATCAAATTATGTGTAATACTTGATATCAAAAAGTTTTTAAGTGGATTTTCTGAGGATGTGTCTCCTTACAATAATGCACTAGGTTTAATATTTTCTTTCTGTTTTCATGTAGCATACTTAGCGTTACATCATTGTTCAATTTTGTAGTCTTGTTTAATGCAAATGCTCAAAAATATACTTTGAATTTGAACATGTTCAAAAATGCAACAAGCACCTACATAATGTCAAAACAAATAGATGTGATCATGAAAACCCATTAAAATAAAACATGAAACAGATAAAGTCTTTAGGGATAATAAAGACAGAAAAAGTTGTTTTCTTGTTTATCTATATTTATACATATTTTATATCTGCATATCAAAATAAAATTGTCTGAATCTGTTTTTTGACTTTGTACAGCTCAGACCTGCTCATTTTGATTTTAGTTTGTTCTTATTTCTCTCCAAAAACTGTATTTACTGAATTTTCAATTAAAATTACAATTTGACTTCAGTTGTGTTTGACTCAGTTTGCTGGGATCAGTGGTCACAGTTAAAACCAGCTGATTCCGATCATTAGCCGATGAAATGGCACATCCCTGAGTATACCTCTATATCCTGGATAATTAGGGGTGCCTCAAGGATTGGTTTTGGGTCCATTAAATTGTATTATTTACATTAAGTATTTAGATTATAATGTGCCACACACAACATTCMATTTGAATGCTGACAGCATTATTTACTGTACTGCTTCAACACCAAGCAAATAACTCCATCTTACAATTATCCAACATTGTTCAGAGCAATTTAAAAAGCCTAAAACTCATTTTAAATGTAGACAAAGCTTCGGAGAAGGGTGGGATTAAATAAGTTTTTGACTTCTTCCCATTCCTTTTCAAATACGTTAATTTTGTTTTTTATCATTTTTTGTTTTGTATACATATTTGAAATAACTAACTAACTAACTAACTAACTAACTAACTAACTAACTAACTAACTAACTAACTAACTAACTAACTAACTAACTAACTGTTCTCTAACTCTAAGACGGAGGCAACTTATTCTTATTTCTAAAAATTTTAAGGTATTGCAAGGAAGAACAGGTTTCTCTGTATAACTACTTTTTTATATTTTTTCTTACCCTTTGCACCACATTTTCAGTAACTACGTAGTTAGACTCAATTTAAATCTAGGTTTGTACTTAAGAATCAGATCCCACATTTCTTACAAGGCAAAACAAATAAACTATGTTTATGTTGGTTCTACATTATGGTGATGTTTAATACACCCTGATAAAATAATGGATTAATAATAATTTAAAAAAAAATCAGTCTGAAGGGAAGTTTTTTCTACATTTCTGTCAGAGCACAGAGTTATTTCTAAAAATACCAGTAGTCTGAAGTTTGAAGGCATGGGATGTATGAATGCCAAGGTATGCAAATGGCCGGTCAAGGTACACAGACTGCGCCACAGAAAGCAAGAACCAGTTCTTACACTTTAGTATTTCTGCTTCCTTCTGCCCTGATGCAACCTCTTTCATGTCTGCATTTCATCCAGAAAGGAACCCTGAAAGTGCTTCTTTAGTGTTCAGTGTAGAGGGCCAGCAAAACTTTAATTAAAGGTCTAACATTCTTTGACGAAATGCCACTTTGCATGCTKCAGTTTTCAACTTCAACATCCAAAGTTGAGAAATGACTTCAGTCTTTTAGTTATGGCTTAATATATGTGAAAAAGACAGTTATGGCAGCCAGACTGCACTGATTCCAAAGAAGTTCAAAGCATTCAGGGATGAAAAAAAGAGATGAATTACGTTTGAATAACGCTGACACAAACATACAGCGTGATCATCTGAAGTGTCTCGCTAATGTCCGTCAGTAATAACAGTCTGTACAGCATGAGGCCAGAGCAAATCTGCTGTGGAACCACTTTATTTACTCCGGACTCCTCCTCCCCTCCTGCAGATACTTTGGACATACTCACCGTAAATTTGCTGTACAGCTCGAATGTGAGCAGAGGATTGGGAAGCTCCCTGAAGTAGAGCTTACATAAAGAACCCACACAGTGGATGTCCTGGAGGTACACTTCCTTTGTAAGGTCAGGGCACGCCTCAGAGCTGAATTCCTGCCTACACACACAAACACACACACACACGGTTAGCTGAATGACCGGATTGTTTAGCATCACAGCTAAGTTCTGTTGCACCATGTGGCTTGAATGAAGAGCATTCACTTGCCCAAAGTTGTTGTGGGGGATTGAGGATGAACTACAATACTAAACATGCACAATGAAACTCTGAAAATAGAATTTGCATGTGCCAGCTTCACTTCTTCGTTAGTGAGGTTTCACTTTTGTAAAGAAAAGCATCAGAACCCCCAAGTACCTGAGACGCTGGATATTTGAGGTGACTCCAGAAAGCCTGTAGATTCCGTCCACAATCCCATACTTCTCAATAAACTCTGCACAGTTTTTGAGGACCTGAGGAACTTTAGAAAGAAAAACATATTTAAACTCAAAGTTTGGAAGAAGTTGGAACATGGTATAAAATGCATCTAAAAACATGGTTTGTTAATCCCATAAATATTTGTTTTATTCACAATGCAACATAGGACACATATCAGATGTGTAGGCAAATAATTTATACCATTAAAAAAGGGTCATTTTGATTTTGATGGGACCAAAGCATCTAAAAAAAGGACAGGGCCATGTTTCCCACTGTGAAGCATATCCTTTTCTTTTACCTGCAGTTTGTAAACAATAGGAACTGAGGAAAATGTCCTATTCATGTAGCTTTCTATCATTTATGCTTGATTTTTTTTTTGTTAGATGGGAGGACATGTTGCTTTAAAATCTGTATAAACTGTTTTGCATTGATTGCACCTTTCCAGTTGTGCATTTATGCACCCCCATACCATMAGAAAGGCAGACTTTTAAACTATGTGCTGACAGGTCCCTTTCCTCTTTAGTATAGAAAACATGGGAGTAATGTTTTCAAAAAATATATATTTTGCTTTGCCTTTTTTCATTTTAAATGATCTTTGGTCTAAAGAAAATCACGAGTTTTTAAGATGTTGTTCGTCTTTGCATGATAGAGCTTTAACTAGCATTTGTGGCTGGCACAATGAGCTGTGTTTACAAGATGAATATTTGTGGTTGTGTTCCTAAATTTAGTCAGTGATGTTCATAACAGAAGCAGACCTGTTGTCAGTGCAGCGGCCCCTGAGGGCCCAAAGGTCAMGGGCATCCAACTTTATGCACATAATTTTCTATGGCTTCTTAAAATCTGTTGATGATATTATGAACCGTAGATAACGGGATATTCAAAGTCTTCACAATTTTCCATTGAGGAGCATTATTTTATTTTTTAGACACAGATTTGTACAAACCTCTGCCCATCTTTACATCTGAGAGATTTAGCCTCTCTAAAATGTTTTTAGACTCAGTTCTCTTACTGGTCTTAACTCAATTAAGCTAATTAGCTGCAAAATGTTCCTCCAGCTGTTTCCTATTCATACCACTTACTTTTTACAGCCGTTTGCAGTTCCTGTCCTAAAGTTATTGATGTGTTGYTGCCAGAAAATTCAAAAGTACTTAAATTATTTTTTTAAAAAGTGTTGTTTTTTCAGCTAACTACATATTTGCTTTTTTCCTGATTAATAAAATATTTTTATATCATTGCAAGTCATTGCAATCTGCTTTTATTTACATTTTTACACAATGTCCCAACATGTTCAGAATTGGGGTTTTTACTTTATAATGCACATATGGGTAAAATCACCAGGAGGACACTTTAACCTTTTCATACAAACAGACGTAAATTCATGATGTGTAGTTTGTTTCACGTAGATGTCTGTTTTCACCTCCTCGGGGCCGGTGATTGTAGGTGGACTGAGACAGGAAGTTAAAAATGGTTTGTTTGTTTCAGAGGAAAGTTGACACACCCAGTCCTTGTAGCTGGTATTACTTACGACATTTCCTCTAATAGAAATGGGCTTTTGTAACGTAACCATTGACCTACACTGCTTTCCTAACAACAGTGAATCACCCACAGTAAACAACCATTTAACACAGAAAAAAAACAGAAAACAAATTAACACATCTAGCTGTGGTTTTCATGTGTTTGCTAAATCACACGCTCTGATTCTTGCTGCACTGTGATCATTTTGTGCACAGAAATAGAATCAAACTTCTTACATTTTAAACATTTTAAAGTGTGTGAACATAATTTGCAGAGGAATATACAAATGTACACGTTAACCTTCAACAATTAAAATAATAGCCATAGGTAAATTGAATTTATCCTCACAGTAGGAGCTAAACACTGTATTTAAGGATTAGGTTTCAGTGAAAATACTAAAAATCTATCCATCCATCCATCCATCCATCCATCATCTATCCATCCATCCATCCATCCATCCATCATCTATACCCGTTTCTTCCTTTTAGAGTTACTGGTGCCCACACCCAGAAGTCACTGTGAGAGGGGCGGGGTACACCCTGAACAGGTCGCAAGTCCATCAGGGTCACACATGGCGTTTTTGGATTGGCCCAACCTGGTCTGGTCTGGCCTGGGTAMAAACCCGAGTTCTGTGTATGTTTGTCATTATGGCCCAGTTCCAGCCTGATTTCTGGGACCCAGAGATCTGGGGTCCTATTCAAACCAGGCTGCTGGGGCGTTGTCTCGCTCTGTTTCAGCTGGTCCTGAATTATATTGAGAACAAATTCAATACCACAAGCTTAGTATGGACCATTGTTGTGTTGCAAATAAAATGACGTCTCATAAAGATTGGTGCATTTTTGATTTGATGATCCCTSCCCACATCGAGGCAGCACTCTACTCAAAGCAAACACAACCAGGGCTGAGGTAGGTAGGATAAGGTCGGCCCTTAAAATACAAAAATGTCCATAGAAACAAATGATATGTGGGAAGAAACTGGAGCCCCCAAAGAAAACCCATGCATGCATGGCAAGAATATTTAAACTCCACCTCGAAAAGCCTCGGACCAGGAACTGATCTTGTGACCTTCTCAGTGAGAGGCGACAGCTCTAACCACTGCTCCTTAAAAAAAACCCTAAGAGTTGAATGTTCAAATGTTCATTCAACTGGATTTTTTTTTCTCCAGACAATTTTTCTTTCCCACATTTTTTTGTAATTGTTTTAATTAAATCCTAAAACAAAAATGCCGGATCAATCCGCCGCAAACTGAATGTCTACATATTTTGAGCAACGGCTGATTTCTCCCTTCTCACCACAAACACAAACAGTTATTTAAATTCTCATCCTTTCGACTTAGATAATTGAAWCTATAATTGCCTGCCTGTGGTCAAAATGTGGATGAGGAATGACTCTCGGGTTGTCATTTAGTGCTTCTCTGTTTCTACTGAAGGAACGTTTCATACGGCTGGCAACCAAATATAGTTCAGCTGACGATACATAACGAATGTTCAGCTTGATGGACAACATTTCTTTGCGTCTGGCTGATTTATGTTGAATAAATAATTAAGTGGATTTGAAGAATGTGTAACTGAAAAGATTAAAGGGAAATTCTGTTCTTTTCCTTGTGATTTGAAGACTTTGTGAAATGCTCTTTCTTTTGTTTAAAAGTATAGTTCAGATCTTTAGATGTGGGGTTTTGTGTATAAGTAATAATAATAATAATAATAATAATAATAATAATAATAATAATAATAATAATTCATTGACTGAATTGATGAGGAAGCCGAGACTAAAATAAATCACACCATTTTAAAAGTTATTCTGATTTAAAAAAATATTTGTTGAAGCAGTTCAAATAAATGTTTACAACTATTCCTGCAAGAAGTGCTGCAGCTTGCTGCTGCTGCTATTTGCTYTTGTAAATAATAGAATAATTTAGTGTTAATAACAGTGTAATGAGAAACTGACGGCACAGCAAAGGTTCATAAACAGAGTTTGCATTAAATGCTATGATTGTTTTAAGATTTGAATTAATTTAAAAATGAATTAAGACAACAGCAATCCACTTTGGTTTTGTTCGGACTAGCCATGAGCTCATCAGTTCAAGACTGAGGCCATTCAAACAGTTATCTACAACAAACGAGTTATTGATCGTTTATAACCTTTCCACATAAGCCTACAATAATAAAATATATTTTTTTAATGAAAACAACTGATCAGATCCACACATTTAAACACAAATTTAATCCAATGCACTAAAGAATCTGCTGTAATCAAAAAATTAGTGGAGCATCCTTATATGGGTGATGTTTTTTTTTCAACAAGTCAATATTAGCAATATTAATTCTGAATAAATGGTATTTTACCATTGTCAAAGACTGAATTTATCTTTTTACACCACTTGTTATCTTATTTATGACTAAATTAGTTGCCTGTAATAATCATAATCAACTCATTTACATTTATCAGTTGTTTGACATCAAGGGGCAGATTGTACACAGAGATGATCGTATAAAGAAAAAAAGGACAGATAATGAAAAAGTCTCTCTGAAGCCTCACTTTGTGAATCAATTAAAGTTACATTTGTATTTGTTARATTTCTTGACCTAAAAATAAAAAATAGAGTTTTTTTAAGATTGTGCATTTATTCTATTTGACAGATAAGGTTGATTTTCTGGAATTTTATTTATTATACTCTGAAAGTGGGAGCTTCGCTGCTTCTTTCTGACTTCCACAGATTCTGCTGTATGATTTGAGTTTGTTATTGCTGACTTTCACACATGAAAATAGAAAGAGAGAAAGAAAAAATACAACGAAGACAAAAAAAAGGGAAAGTTTTGAAGTCGTTTTTATGTTTAAAATAGTTTTRCTATTTTTGCCAAAGAGTAGACAAGAGTTTTCATGAAAAACTGCTCCAACAGTCTGAAGGAACACTGTGTCTGCTACTTCCATGACACATGGGTATGACCCACATCTCCTCCCTCACTTCCTGCGCCCCAAAGCCCCGCCCTGCAGAGAGCACAATCTAACAGGTCTTTCTTAAACGTCTTAAACTCATCTGACTAGTTCCCTTTTAACGTTTAAAACAAGGAAACTACCAGATCAAGGCAGCATGAAGAAGGCATGAATAGAAGAAAAAAATGACTAAAAAACATAACTGAAATCACTGTTTGAGTTTTCAGTCTTTTTTTCTTGGCTCATTATTTTCTGTCATGTAAAAGCAGCAGTTTTGTGTCAAGCTACTAAACTTGGAACATTGCTCACTATAGGAAATTGACCCAAAAAACAGAAAAGAAAAGAAAAGAAAAAAAGKGGGCCCCACCCTAAGTCCATTAAATACAGCCAATGAGTGAATGAATGGCCTTACTAAATATAAAACACATGTATTCTGACATTGCATATAAATAACATTTAAACAGAGACTTATATAAGTATTTTTTATTTAATGTCTTTGCAAAAAAGGTTGATAAGGCCACAAGACTTTAAGAAATAACTTTAAAGTAAAAGTTCCTCTGAGTGTCTACTAGAAACACTTTGTCATGTATGAACACTCCCTGTAAGAGTTGCACTAGATCTAATAGGAAACAAGCAAAAGGAAAAGTTTTACCATCTTGTCCTGAATTCTGAAGATGTTCTATCAGGTCACAGCCGAACGCATTCTCACTTCCTTTCTTTTTGGACTTCTGCTTATTCCCTCTATTCTTCATGTGGCTCCAGTTAGTAGTCCGGACGATTACARCTTAAAGTTCCTCGAGAGCTCGACGACCGATCCATATGACCTGAGAGAAGGTTGAGATGGCAGGTCAAAAAGCAGGCACATAGAGATCCAGGCACACAGCTTCCAAATGTCTGCATCCGCTCACTCTGACAAACCACACTGGTAAGAGCAGCACTGACGTCACTTAGAAAACTTCACCTCATCTTTTTCTTTTTTTTTAGAGTGTTAAAATTTTAGGAGATGACTCAAGAAAGGGCATGATGAGGCTGTGGCTTTGCTGAGACAAGGCAGTCTGCTGCTTTATCTCAACAATTTGCAGAAACAGCATCAGTCACTTGGTTTCCTGTTGTTTTTTTTAACCCCCAGCCTGTCCCTCTCTGTGTGTGTGCTCCTTTTTTATCTCCACCTCTTTTCCTTCATTCCTCACTCCACAGTCTCCCCCTTTCTACTGTTCTGTAGCTGAGACATAGAGAGGCAAGTTCCCTCATGAACTCAGCTTTTTATCCCCCTTTAAGTTTACTAAAATAATCATAGCAGTGGTATTTCAAAATGTTGAGACTAGAGAGGGAGACACAGGTATGAGAGGAGGAGGAGAACAGCTGGCATCTCTTAGTTTAGGAATTACTGCACCCTTTTTTTTTTGCCACATTCCCAAACTTAGAGCTAACGGGAAAGCTTCTCTCTGCCTTTCCTGAATGCTCCCAATGTACACAGCGTTTCCTGCGCAGAGCCCAGGCTCAAAAACAAAAACAGACGGGCTCTGAAGGAAGAGGAAAGTGGGAGGTGACTCTAGTGAGGGTCTGAAGGGCACAGATGGGAAATGGAGTGGGGAGAGAATGGGGGGGTGCTGGCCCAACAAGATGGACCACACGTGCTTCTCGTTACAAACTTTCATGCATTTATGTTTCTTCTTTTTTTCTCTCTCTCTCCCAAACTGGACTGCAGCTTCAATAAAAACTCCTAATTTATTAATACAGTGTTGATGTTCATTTGGAAGAGGAAATCATAGCTCTCCGCAGATCTCCCACAATGTCTTGAGTAAATCTAATGTAATTACATCCCTGCAGCGGACTGCCATGCCTGATAAATATCATGCAATATTCTGGGATATTCCTCACATCTGTAGCCTACTAACTGTGTCAACATGGACAAATTAAAGTTATAACTCTTTAATTTTAGGTTTAAGGTTTTACAACCAAGAATAACTGAACTTTTCATGACTCAATGTAATTAATGAGTCATTTCTACCAGTGGGTCTGTATGATAATCACTCATTATGACTCTGAGCGTGAAGATTCTGCGAACTCAGAAGGAAGATGCTCTGAAAACACAAAAAGAATGAACTTATTCTTAAYAACTTTCCACCTTTTCTATTTCTTGAGATCTGAAGGTGTTACAGGTTGTACCGTGTTGTATTTTTGGAACCAGAGGCTCTCTGCAGTTCCAAGGCTTTTCCTCTAKCAAGGATTCGTGGAACCAGAGCATTTTTCAGAACGTACTTCGCTGTGGTTCCAAGTTTACCACGCTGGCCTAAAAACGCTATGCCAGAAAACTGTTTGCAGAGCCGGCTCTTGGCATAGGCGAACTAGGCGGTCGCCTAGAGCGCCATCTGCTGGAGGAGGCGCCGATCTGCAGAAGAAAAAAAGTTATTATGTGTAATCCCTGGTTGTAACTCTGCTCAGCGCCCCTTTCAATTAGCTTTGTCTTAAAAAAACAATAATGAGGTATTACAGGAAAAATAAACCACTCTTACTACTAATCCTGCTGACATCCATTCTGACACAGTGAGGACTGAGTTTGTCAGCCAAGGACCTTATGAGGTAAAATCAGACTTATATTTTCCAAAAAGAGAGGACCTTCTAAATCTTTGCACAAATTGTGAACAGGGTCTTTTGTTTACCCTTGTCATTTGATTTAATTATATTTACTTTATTTATTAATTTAATTTGTTGTGTGATGTATGTTTGTGTTTAAAGCAAATAAATCTAAGTTTACCATAATAAAATAGTAGGGGGAGGGGGTTGCGCTTCAACCAAAATGGCTAGCGCCAGCACTGACTGCTTGGTTAGGGGGTGGAGTCACAAGAGATACTCTCACAACAACCTGGTCCACCATTTGCAATAACAACACTAGTCCTTCATTTTTGTGTTGTGTAACTTTTCAGKGTCTTCTTCTTCTTCTACTGTGTTTGATGGTGGATGGCAAACAGCTTGACGGAGCATAACCACCACCGGCTGGTAAGGTGTGTGGCGTCAACTGTTGGACTCTTGGACCGTCTAACTTTAGGATGAACTCCCCCTCTAGAGCTGTTACTGAAGTGTTATGGAAAGCCACCCGAACTGAGCTGAACAGAGTTCAGCCAAATCAGACCGTGCTGTAGAGGCATTAGTGGATAACATTCTAACACTATACCACAAAGAATGACGGCCCTTTGGTGGCCCAGATGTGGTTTGCCAGATGGTCCATGCTTGGCCAGCAAACACAACAGGGCCAATGGTGGCCTGCCATTATATTAACAGTGCCATCATTGCCAGACCTGGCCCACATCTGGTTGACTAAACACTTGCTTTGCCAGCAGTCAGCCAGCTTGACACCAGATATGGCCCACACCTGTCTGCCATGTGGGAGGGAAGGAGGGAAGTTGGTCCTGCTCAGCTTCAACTTCCAGGTTGTTGTGAGATGTCTAGATTTTAAATTTTTTTTGCAGTTGATGAATCAAACTGATGTTCTTCATTTTAATCTATTAGGTTTACGGTGATCTGGATGAATGAGAGCCTATGCTTAGAGGGGTTTCCACCACAGTAACCTTTTCCCAAAATCAGGGTCTTACAGGGGTGTTTATGTGTGTGCTGTTCTTGTTTTGGGCTTTTCCTTGTTGACCAAAGGAACCAGTATTTAAAGAGAAAACAGAAAGGCAGCACCGACAGAACTTCTAAGACTAACCTGAACCATCCGGGTTGGAGTTTTGGGATAGGAGTGATGTGCGCTGCGAGTTGAGCCTTCCCATCATCCTAGTTTAATATCCATACATTCTGCTAACATCTTTATCTTGTTTAATTAGCACTTCAATGATCCAGAGTCAGGCTTTGGCTCACTTTCATTTAGTAAAACAAGAAACATTTCTGGCTCATTAAAGAAAATTTGATTTTAGACAAACTGGGTCACAGGGGAAAATATACATACAATATATCTGCAAACCTAGTAGAGGTACCGCAGAGCTGCTGAAATAATACCAGTTTGGTGACCTGGTACCACACCTCTTGTCCAATGCAGTGGATACTTACAGCAACCTTGAACAAAAAAAATAAAAGTCAGATTTAAATGGATGAACAAGTGGACAGAAGTTAACTACAAATTTGGTGAAAATACACAAACTAGCACCAGGGATACATCAGAACAATGTTGTACACACTGACAAAGGCAAAACTGTGTGGTCTGAAAATACTACAACTGTATGAAACATGGAACAGATGACAGCGTACAACCAAGCAGAGCTGATATTTTCGTACTTTTTCTGAATGTCACATGGTGAACGGATGACCAGGCCTGCCCTCGGCAAGACAAAGGTTTCTTTCTGCGCCATAGGAAGAGGACATGACATCATTCTGTCCATACAAAGCCGCAGACATCCCGCTTGTTCTTTCTGCTTCTTAATAATTAAAAAAAAGAAAGAAAAGAAGACATATCATTGTGCGTGAATAATGGGGGTTATATTCTTGTCCTTATTATTAGTTTTTCAGTACACGTCGTCAAAATCATGAAATATTTTTTAGATTTACTTTCAGTCAAACAACAATGTGAAAGTAATTTGGTTGAAAGGGGAAAAATAGGATTAATCTGTGGTGTATTTTCTTTGTATATCTTACATGAGAAGAAGTGAGACACAAAAGCAAGACTACAGTAAATGTTACCAGTTATACATTACACACTGAACTGTACACATTCATAACTGAATTAACATTGTCAGGCATGTAAATAAATTACTGATAAAGCCAGTTTTAGACTCATGATGATGTCAGCTGCACAGGTGCTTCGCTACTAACTTCCTGTCTTTACACAACAATAGTGCACTCATTGTCAGCGATACAAATTGTACAGAGTTGTCCTGACTGCTTGCTTCATTTAAAAAGCACAAATTTTATAAAAATTTTGAGTTGTTTTTTGATTTACTTGAAAGCTCAGATCACTCAAGCTTGTAAACTTCAGAGATAAGAACAATGTTCTCGCAAAAAAATCTCGAAGAGAAAAAGAGAAATTGAGAATTGATCATTTCTTAGACATGCCTAATAAATTGTTTAAACAGATTTGTGACAGCTCGATTGTTATGCAGCAACCCAACAGGACCTGCCCTCTCTGGGCCACCAAGAGTCGGAATAAGGCAGAGATTGTATTTATTTATTTTTTTGTCTCAAACTGCCTTCCAGATTTTCTTTCCTCCTCAGAGCAGATCTGCTTATCTTAAAGCAACTCTAAACCACGTTTTGCACATAACACTGTAGATCAAGAGTCTATAGGTGTTAACTTGCCTGTGGATTGTGCAGACCTCTCCTGCCAAACACTGAAAATGTTTTGGATGTTTTGATATGAAGATTTTATTGACCTAAAAGGGTTCAACTTAACTCCTACTGCATATTAGGACATCTCATTTTCAAAACCACACCCATTAGTCTTCATGCTTCTGAGAAATATCACACAGTATATGTATCCATCCATTTTCTGTACACGCTTATTCCTTTTCAGGGTCGCGTGGGTCACTGGTGCCCATATCCAGCAGTCACAGTGAGAGGGGTGGGGTACACCCTGGACAGGTCGCAAGTCCATCACAGGGCCACACATAGAGACAAACGAGACAAACAACCA